TATATATATATATATATATATATATAAACAAACTTAGTGTCTTAGTTATAAGTTTTTTTCTAAAAAAGTCATATTTAATACGATTATATTTTAGAAAAGTCTAAATTATATTAAATAATAAAAGAATTAATCCATAAAAAAAACTAATAATAAAAAAAATAATAAATTTGTAACAAAATTGCATACCCCTAACAATTATGATTTTGTAACTGTTTTATAGTTAATTAAACAACTTTTCCATCCCTTACGGTATATTATTAAGTACCGTTTTCTTAATTATAAGTTTTTTCTTACAAAAATCATATTTAATATGGTTATTGTATAGAAAATTTTAAATTATATTAAACACTTTTATATAAGAAAATTTATCCATGAAAAGAACATATAATGATAAAAAAACAATATACATGTAATAAAATTACGTACCTTCTAATAAGGTTGATCCTATAACTCTTTCAGGATTAAGCCACCAACAATATTAGTCATTTCCACCTCTTATTCCTTCAATACAAAAAGAAAACATTAAATGTCACATGTATATATGTTATATATAAACTCGAGTGTTTATCTTTACTTATAATTATAATTTTTTTCTTAAAAGATATCATACAAGAAAATTGTATTTAATTGTGATAAGGATAAAAATGTGATAAAATTGTTAATATAAACAAAAAATAATGTTATATAAAATAGCATCATAAAAACTATTCAGAAAAAAATATATCTGGATATTGTTACACTACAAATTTTATAGGACCCAAGACTTATTATGATGAAATGTTTAGAGTTTGTTTTTTTTACATTTTCTCCTCTTTGAGATTTTTTTTATATTGGTGCATGATTTAGAATTCTTCATCTTAAAGTTTATTCCTTGGACTAATTAAGTGAAACATTAATAACCTTGTAAAAAAATTACAATATATTTACACACACAAAAAAAGAGTGCAAGAGAAAAATAAAAAATAGTTGTACCTTGTGATGTAGTAGCGATGACATTCCTATGCTGCTGGGAATGAATTGAATATGTAGTATCACTAGGAGGAGTGGGGCATACACGAATGCCTTTTCCTTGTGTTCCGGTAAGATGAGCTTTAAATCTTGAAATCACTCCTTTGAATTTCAGTTCACAGTGCTTACACTTCAACCCACCATCTTTTTCTCTATCAACTTGATTCCAGCAGTACCTATTTTTCGCCTACCCATAATTACTATATTTCCTGTACCCACAAAATCAAATGGATAGCTGGAGAATGAGACCACTTTTCTTAATCAAATTTCATGCTTATCAGCTCAAACAGGTCTAATTAAGGCTACTGATAGAGGGTTTACTGAAAGTGTTATCAATTGCAAAATCAGTAATGCGTTCTGCTTTGGCCGTAATAACATGTTCAGTTCACATTTCAAGCATGCTTTCAACATTCAAAATCCCAATGCAAGGGGATATTACCATACAAGAAGCATAGTTACTACAAAATTAATCTACCAATGATAATGCTTTTAAAAGGAAAAAGGCTTTTAAAATTAATGCATAATCCTTAGTTAGAAAATCAATGTAAAATTCTAATTGCTCAAACCACATGATAGTTCCAATTAATATCAATAACGAAAAACTATTTTCCCATACAGAAGAAAGAAGAAATAAAAGTAAAGAGGATTCTTAATCAAATTTACAAATATAATTAAACTAAGATATAAAATAAATTAAAAATACCTAAAATAAAAATCATTCAACATAAAAGCATACTCATAATATTAAATCCCAATATTAAATTCAAGGTGGGACCCATACCAACATAGGAAAGGGGACCACATGTCACACCAAACTATGCATTTATATATTTTTTATGACCTGCGCATAATGCTAACTGAAATTCAAGTGATCATACAATGATTCTACTCCAATGTATTAATAAAAACGTGGTCCCACTAGTTTTTAATGAATGACATTTTTAATAAATGCATGGGATTTTTTATAAAAGCAACGGCCATTGGAGCACATGAATTATAGCAATATCCTGGATATATATAACACTAAAACAAAAAAACCTCACATGCAGAGGACATCGGGACATTAAACTAATAATAATATCAAAGCCATGAAATTTCCTCGTTTGCCAAACACACGAACAAAAGGGTTCAATCTCTTTATAGACTCATCCATGCACGTCTTTCACCGAATGCCCATGCAAATGCATCATGCCTCACCATG